ATTACAGTGATTGGTATTCCCTGTCTGTGTTTAGCATGACTGTTCTTTTCTGTTCCAGAGGCAGTGCTATATGGCTTAATGGTATCTCTGTCATTCTTGTTTGTGTGTTCATCATTGTATGTATTATATTTTAGTTGGTTGTTGTCAGTGAACTGTGTTGCAATGATCATTGCAGGATATTGCACTCTATAACTGGGTGGCTCTGCTGTGTTTTTCTTCTAACCATGTTACTACTGTACTTTTATGAACTATCCTGGCATATTGTATTGCTGCACTCCGCCTATTCGTTTTATTGTACTGGGTGGCTATATGGTATTTTAGTACACCCTATTTTAACACTATGACGTGTTCTGCTGTTGTATTCTATTGCATTGTTCTGTCCTGTTGTGTTCTCCTGCATCTCGCGGTGCTATTGTGTAGAATTACGCTGCCCTGCTGTACTGTGCCTCGCCTCACAGTTTTAGAAATAACCCCAAACTGCTCGTTGTGCTGCTGTGACCCCTTCTCGACCCACTCCGCACTGCTGCTTATTGGTCATGCACTTTAGCCACAGCCGCTGAGACTGTCTCCAGCCCGGCCACTGCGGAGTCCCGTACAGCATCAACCACCTTGATTGCCGCTGCCAGACCCCGCCCCTTTGGGCAGGCTGATCTGCATAGCCGCGCCCAGGAGGACTGCTTATATCCAATGGGAAGCCCTGCCTGCCTGTGGGGGCGGAGTCCCGGGGTGGAACTTCGCTTCTCGTGGGTCCCTCCAGGGCAGGAGGGAGGGTGGGTGCGGGCCAGCTGGCCAGTCTGTGGGGCTGTCTGGGGCAGAGCAAAACAGCCCTGACTTGTTCAGGAGCCCGCACCAGGATCGCTGCGGCTGAGAAGCAGGTAAAATGGGACATGTTTGCCTGGCAGTGGCACCTGATGCCTTTTGGTACTTGCCTGTCTCATGGGTAGGGCAGTTAATTGCCTATTGATCATCTCTCTGTGGGTGAGCTGCCTCGTCTTGTCCGTACTTCCCATCCAGCCTGCCGGGGCGTCTGAAGTTACTCTGCATCTCTAGATGCTAAACAACCAGTGAATGCCCGATCCGTAGCGGCTGGAATCGGTATGTGGCGCCCCAATCGGTATGTCTGCCTGGGCTCCGTGTGTCCATCCCGGTCCGTGGGTTGCTTTCACTCTGGCTGGGTCTCTCTCTCCGGCATGAGGCGGTCTCGGGCTGGTTCAGGCTGCAGAGTCGCTGTGCTGTTTACATGCCTGGGCATATCCCAGCGCGCTGGAGCATCCCTCGCACGTTCCCGTTCGTGTTTCAGGGGAGGGAGGGGCTCCAGTGGGCGAGCCTGTCTCTGTCTCAGCTAGACATGATCCTTGTAGGGAGAAAAGAAGCGGGCTGCCAGGAAGGATCGGTCTTTTTATTAGCTTTTCCTTGTAAGTTTCGGCGCTCAGAGTCTAGGTTATGATTGTCCGGTACCAAGCTGCAAAGCGAGGGGGTAACGGATCTGCACTAGCGGTGCAAAGGGTCCGGAGAGGAAGGAAATTGGTACTGACACGTGGTTCGCTGGGCAAGTCAGGGCTTGCAGGTACAATCTTCAGCCTCCCACTCCCCGCAGATGGGGTTTCATCTGATCGCTTTACAGACGGTCCAGATATTTTGATCCCTGCAAACGCGGACTTTGGAATAAGCCGTGGAATACTTTGCCTGCATGCCAAAGAGTCACTGGTAGGTGACACCACTGTAGTCTGGAAGGGCGCGCTGCAAGTTCCGACACTTTAATTTAAGCGATTGCGGGGGTGGCATGCCTGATTATAAAACACAGCAGACACCAAAGTGTTTAGAGCGCTGAGCTGTAGATTTCAAGGCTGAGATTGCGGCCAACGATAAATATGAGTGAAGATTACAAATGAATAATCATATTGGTTATTTATTATAAACTATGCGATTGAGTTTAGTATTAGCACCAGCAAATATTGATGAGTACAAGCAACTTTTTCCATTATTGTAATACTTTACATTAAAGTTTAATAAATAATGAGCTAGCAGTTGATATAATAGTTGATAATGATTTCTTTAGTTCTTAAAAATGCATTTCCTGAGCCCTGTGTGTATAATATTTATGGTATCTGTGGGTGTGCTCTTCATCTGTAAATATTTTAAATACTTCTGTCTAGCAACTGACTAAGCATTTTTATGTACATTTGGAGTAATTCTTAGTAAGTACAGATTAGAAATGGTTTTATTTGTAAACTTAATTATAAATGAGGCAGTAATTTTTTCCTGTGAGTTGAGTATGAATGACAGGTTGTCAGTGGTATTATGTGTTAGACATTAAAGAGGACAAAAGCAAAAAGGAGTAACAGGGGGTACAAACAATTGTTACAATAATCAAGAAACTGACCAGTTAATAATGAATAGGTCAAGGGGGAAAACAGACAAAAAAGAGGCCAAAATTTTCAAAAGATACCAGTGATTTGGGGAAGTCAGCTTGAAACACTCTAAAAAGGCCTGGTTTTTAGAAGATGGATGCTCAGATTGGTCATCCAAAAATTTGAGGCACTGAAAAATACTCAAACAACCCCCAACACAGACTAGTCACATTTGGAAATCTTGACCCCAGTGTGTATATATATATATATATTGTATATCAAAATTATACATATTATGGCCATGATCCTGCAAACACTTATGCACAAGACAAACTGTATGTACGTGAGCGGTCCCATTGATTTCAAGGTCTCAATTGTACCTCTTTCTTTCCTATATTGTTTGTCATCTTAAGTCTCGATCCTGCATTGTGATTTGCTAACATGGCTCTCTGCACTTCTGGGGAATCCCACTGAATTAAACAGAACTTCACATGGGTGCGGAATTCTGTATTAATCAGATCCCGACGCATGATTGGGGCTTCAGATTATAAATTCTTTTGGGAATGATATAGGTCTTCCTATGTGTTTGAATGGCATTTCGCATGCTGTGAGCACTACAGGAATCCAAGTAATAATAATACAGTAACTCCTGCATTGGGTATTATTACAGTATTTTAAAGTCTTATTTTATTTGCTGTTAGAACAAATTGAAAGAAACAAACAGAAGTCTAAAATGAATATTACGACAAGAGTGGGAACATAAAAAAATTGTCATAATATCAGAGAGGTGTAAAATCAGCACAGTGCGCACTCCCCTTTTGATATTGGGGTGTTTTCTTCTAAAAACAAACAGAAAACAAGCTAAGAGTTTTGAAGTAGGACACATTACACACTTATTAGACTTTTTGTGACTTGGAGAAAGTCTACAAGTTAATTGAAAAACGTGTTTATTTCCAAACCAGGCTAAAAGATTCAGCCACTTTTTACTTATGATGAGCAATACCTTATTCTGCAAGTAACCCTGTTAAAATCAGGGGGCTGTTTACAAAATAAGGTACTACTTGATATGAGTAAAGATAGAAGAATCTGGCTCAGAGAGTCCTATATATTAAGCACAATATAGTGTCAAGAAATGCTTGCAGAACAAAATGAATAGTATTGAGTGAATGGGGAACAGAAGATATTGGCACTAAAGGCAGGGACTTGACTTAATATCAGGAGAAAATGCTAGACATGCAGGAATATTTTCCAGTTAATATTTTGGGATTTAAAAAAAATCCTTTTCTCCTGTTGCTTTTATTTAACATTGTCATTCTTTCTTTTTTAAAGCAACATATAAACCACATAATGGCATTTAATCTGGCTGACCTATTTTCCTCTGCCCAATTCTACCAGCTGCCAACTTCAGATATTCAGTGAGTGTTTTATAGCAAATTTTCCCATTCTGGTATATTGCAAGTAGTGCTGTATGATACCAGTAAAGACCAGGTAAATCTTCAATGATCCCTTAACTCTAATATGTTGACCTGATAATCCAGTAATGCTAAACCTGAAGCCACTATCATGGTCCATTGAAATCCCTTTGCCACTTTGAAAATGTAGCCAGAAGCCTTGGAATATCCATTAGGAACAGCAGGAGCCATCTCAAAAGATGGCAAGTGTTTATCAAACAAATATAAATGTTCTTCACTGTGTAAAGATTGTAGGTCAGACTAGGTTATAAACCAAAAAAACGCACCCTGGATCTTCCTGAAAAGAATTTGAGTGTTGCTATCAGTTCCTGGATTTTTATTTCAATTCAGTGCTTTGGATATTTATAAATCAAGCAGCTACTGGGGGAAAAAAAAACAGTTTTCAATTGAATATGAAGTCTGACCAATGTTCAAGGAAAGTGCAAGTTAGGTAGGGCCTAATCCAAACACTCCCATTGACTTCAATGGGCTTTTATTCAGGGCCTCAGTATGTAGTTGTAGATCTATGTACTACAAGGTGCCAGTCTAGCTTGTTAAATCCTCTTTGAAATATCCTCTTGTCTAGTTAAAAGGCTAGGCTGTGAGTGGTCCTTGCATGGGCACACAGTGGAGGAGTGCAAGAATGAAGCTTCCTCCCCCTTTTGCAGCTACCTAAGGGCTTCCTATACCAGCAGTCTCTGCAGTCCCTGTGCTCTGGGGAGTGCAGGGCCTTGTGCTTCCCCTGAGAAGCATGATGCTATAAGAGAACGGTCAGGATGAGGCACAGTCATGAGCCAGCCTTGCATCTGCACTGGCCTGCGGAGTATGGCTGGTGCGCCTGGGTGACAATCAGGCTAGGTCTATACTACCCGCCTGAATCGGCGGGTAGAAATCGACCTCTCGGGGATCGATTTATCGCGTCTCATCGGGACGCGACAATCGATCCCCGAATCGGCGCTCTTACTCCACCAGCGGAGGTGGTAGTAAGCGCTGCCGACAGAAAGCCGCAGAAGTCGATTTTGCCGCCGTCCTCACAACGGGGTAAGTCGGCTGCGAAACGTCGAATTCAGCTACGCTATTCACGTACCTGAATTTGCGTATCTTAAATCGACTCCCCCCTGTAGTGTAGATGTACCCTTAGATTCATCCACTGGGGTCACCGAGCCATCCCTGAGAGGTTGTGTCTCCTGAGATACAATCTCGCTGATGCTGCCCTGCCTCACCCACTCAACAGGGCCCTGGCATAAATGCCACAGTCTAACCCAGTGGGATAAGAATGGTGGAACTGCAGAAAACTATGGTATTCTACATTAATGGTCCAAACCACTCCATCTTACAATAGTTCTAGTGCAGTATTTTGGGTGGGTATTACTCATACAAGGGAGTGTTTAAATAGGGGAAAGCTGTTTTCACTGAGATTTTTAACAAATCATGAAATCATTTTGATTCAATAATTTAACAGGTTTTATACACCAAGTTCATAGATTCCCCTTAACACAGAACAATGACTGTAGATTGTTTCCCTATAAAATCAATGAGCAGGCTGATACCGCGAGATGTTTAGGTCCCTATCCGGAAAATGAGATTTTATTCTAGCAGTCGCCTCGAGATTCTATACAGCATCTGCAGAAGTGGGAGAATTTCTCATTTTAACCTAATTGGGACCAGATGTTTTAACCACTTACTAGAATCTCAGTGTGGCTTTCTATTGAGGGTGCTCATAAAGTCATAGAGTTTAAGACTACCAGATCATCTAGTCTGACCTCCTGCATATCACAGGCCATCAGCACCCCCAAACTAAATCCAGCAATCAGAACTAGACGCAAGTATCACAGCCGACAGGAGACTGGACTATTATGTGTCACAAGCAGAGAATAGGAGGAACTGAGGTGACCCACACCAGAAATTCAATAAAGCATTCAATGGCCATGTATTGCTAAACCGGATGAGGACCAAGGAGCCATAGATACAAAGGTTAGAAAAGATTATGCAGGATAAAACTGTATTTGGGAGGCCTACTCCCTACATCATTCCTATTATTGTCTCACCTTGCCTATCCTTTTTTATTACTATTTATTGTTTGTATTAGGGTGGCACCTGGGGTCCCCTACCAAGATCAGGTCCCCATTGTTCTTAAGACACCCTAGTGAATGGTGCCTTTCCACTTCACTTGGGAATTTGCTCTTATTCCGTTTGTTTTTATTCATAGATATGGGCCCAACTCAAAGCCTCCGTTTCAAATTCCATATCTGGGTCCATATCTGAACGTTTTACCTCTACAATGGACAGACGCAAAACCATAGATCTAAACAGTGCTGAACTTGGGGCTTCAAACGCTGAGCTTATCCAAAGTTCAGGGTGTTTGGAGTCAGCCTAGTATGGAGAAAAATTTCAGATAGGAACTTGGATTCAAATCTGTGATTGGTTTATATTTGGGAGGATGGTTCAGGCCCATTTCTATTTTTCCTAATGGAAATGGACCCTAACTAGACATTAATATTGAGCCTAAACATTTCCTCCTTTAGCTTCAGCCCATAGCTCCCTGACCACCATTTTCTGAGACTATGACAAACTCTCTTTATTTACTCTATAGTGTCAGTATCCTGGAAGCTATTTATGGACTGTGATCTCATCCCTCCTGCGATCTTTGCTTTACTGGGCTAGATAAATTTAGCACCCTTAATTTCTCGTTGTCGTATGGCTCTCTTTGCAGCTTATACTGCTCAGGGTATGTGAGTTGATAGTAATAACTAATATCTTGCTTTCTGTACTTATCCAGTGGAGACGCCACATCAGATGAGTCCTGATTGTTTGGATAGCGGGAAAAGCCTGCCCAATAGCCCACTTCCAAAGTGCAGTCTGCTTTGCATAGGGCTCATGAGAGTGGGAGATCAGACCTGAGCGGGCTGACAAGGCATAACAAGGAACATTTACTGAGGGGCCCTTTTCATTTACAGTTTATAATGGTGGCATAGATAGAAATGGGTTATGATTGGGGGGAAAGAGAAGTGGAGAGTGCTCATATATCTACTGCTGTAACATCATCCTTTCCAGTATGTTACTAGGCCCTACTATGTGAATATTAGCCAGGCTGTCCTTTGACCTGTTCCTAATGAGGCCTGTGGCTGGGCTGACCAAAACTTGTGTTCCACCCATTTTTGAATTGTTTCAAGTTATAACAGTGGCTTCCTTTGAAAGCATCTTTCTCAAGCCCTTTCTACTCTTCTTTAATGTTTAGATTCCAGTGAGTCGACCTCATGAGGCAGACACGGCGTTATTAATTCTTTTCCTGATTTGCTGCATGAAGTTATGAGAGAAGTGACATGAAGAGAGGCCCAGTGCTGTTTTTTGCTCTATTTCTTGTCCCCAAGGTAGGAATCCACTTGAAACAAATGAACCAAAACCTCTGCATAATGTGTTTTAATAGTTTCAGTTTGATTTCTGTTGAATTCTCTCTATGTGCTCTGCTCTCTGTAGTCTGCATAATTTGCATGGCCCAAATTCCAAATGAGTTCAGTGGGGGTTGAAATCAATAGAAGTTTTGCCATTGACTTCAGTGGGGTAAGGATTTCACCAAGGAATGCACGGCCGGGCTGTAAGTCTGTAGACTAGCCTTACCTAGTGCCTTTGACTAGTTTTGTTTAGTTTGCAGCTGAGGATTCACATCAGTTTTGTGTCTTGTGCTAAGTTCTGGCCATGAATTCCATTCGTTGCATTAAAAACTTGGGTGGCAGCATGTTGGCCAGTAATATAAAGTGTGGCTTTAGTTCTTTAGAGAACTGATAGTTATCCCTTGCTATGTTCTGTGCCCCATATTATATATCCCCAGATTCCTTCTGCCCCACTGACCCAAGACTGTGTAGTTAACTTATCTTCTCTTGCACTGTTTTCACGCCAAATCACGTGAACACGAGCTCCTCTGAGTGGAGGTTTTCGTCAACTCTATACCAACTAAGGCTCTGGATTGAACATCTGCTTTGTGTGCTCCATCCAGTTTGGTGCTCTCTGCAGACCTGGATACCACATTGGTGGTACTTTCCACTGCTCCATTTATGCAGATCTTTGTGATGCTTCTAAATTAGGAACAGTCCTACTGTTTAGCAGACCAGGATAACAAGTTATCTGGTCTGGACTATGTACTGACCTCCCATCAGGGAAGCTGCTGACCTGATCTTAAAAATCATCACTGATCAGAGTGTCCAACATGAGTTTGGAATAACAACTGACCGCACCTCACTTCACTTGTAAATGCCACCAAATGGCACAAGGAATGGGCAGTTCATCTGCATGACCTACTACTTAAGTCCCTCCTCTGTCTCTGCTTAGCCAGTTGCACCTCATACTGCCCTTTGGGAAGAAGGCATATGGCTTTGCTTTTGCGAAAATGAAGTTTTCCTGGTGCAACACAAGCATCTATTAAAGTAGGGGTGAGCAACCTGCGGCCCATGGGCCGCACGTGGCCCATCAGGGTAATCTGCCGGTGGGCTGTGAGACAGTTTGTTTACATTGACCGTCCGCAGGCACAGCCACCCGCAGCTCCCAGTGGCCCCCGTTTGCCATTCCTGGCCAATGGGAGCCCACCACTGTACTAAAGCAAATGGGAATTTGGGGTGTGCAAGGAATGCAGGCAAATTTTCCTTCCAATGAGAAAGCTTTGCCCAGTAAAGGACACGCTTGGTTCAGCTCAGGAGCGTTCTGGGACTTGTAGTAACCCCAGTTGTTTCTCCAGGTCCGAGGTGCTGCTCCAAACCCAATGGAATGCCAGGAGAGTGAGTATCTGGACGAGCACAGGAAGTGCGTTCCTTGCAGGGAGTGTGGCCCAGGATGGGAGCTTTCCAAGGTAATTTGGCTGCTCTGGGATGAACCTGGATTGTTGGCACTGGTGGTGCTGGATGAATCCTCTGCTAGCCTTTAGTAGAAGGATAGTATTAGAGCTTTCTCTGATATGGATGTCCGTGCCTTTAAAAAGAACAGGGCTTTATTGACAAGGGATGTTAGACTATTCCACTGATCATGCTAAGTGATGCAGGAATGGGGATAGGAGAATGGGAAGATGGAAGTACCAATAAGTAAGGAGAGGTTTCAAATTGGTGCAGCTTATTACTTAAACACCAAGCAAAGTACATCATCTCCAGCTCCCAGGGGAAGTCAAAAATCCTTCTGGCAGATAACTCCAGTGTCCTGGTGAGAGCTATGCAATGTCTCATAGACTTTTAGGTCAGAAGGAACCATCGTGATCATCTAGTCTGACCTCCTGCACATTTCAGGTCACAGAACCTCGACCCACTCTTGAAATAGACCCCTAACCTGTCCTTGTGTGGGTCATTGGCAGCAGGAATCCACCTGGGACCTCTGGCTCTATAAATGAGCCTCTGTGCCTAAGCTAAGAGACCTAGCTCTGTTCATCAAGACTATAGACTCATCAACCTCTATATGTGATCCACTCACCACTAGAAGAGGACAGAGTGCCATACTTCATGGGTGTGATTTACACATTCCAATGTGGTTAGTGAGTTTGCTATATATAGCCTTGCCTAGCTCAGGCTCATACTGTTTGATCCCAGCTGCCAGCAAACCCTCTCCTCCCCCCGAGGGCACAGCATTACACCAGCATCCCCCTGGCAGTAAAACAAGTTCTAGTGACTGAGGCAATGTGTGAGCTATTGCTGAATGCAGAATGGCTGCCCTATTTGTTTGCTGCTATCTGCTTCAGTGCAGTGCAAAGATGTGAGATGCCCAGAGTGTGAAAGGCAACTGAGAATTCTCTCACTGAAGAGAA